GCCTCGAACTGATGCCCCATCCCCCGCCGCCCCCCAATATCCCTTCGCTTCGGCCCACTCTCCTGATGCCCCTCCGATTACCCTTGGTCCTCAGCATGCCCCTCATCCACACTGTTACCCCATGTGCCAATTCATGTCGTCCCTCGTCGCCCTCCCCCGCCCGATTCGTTCCCCCATCGTCCACACGCCTGCCCGCCTTGCATCCTCTACGCCCTAGTGCACATCCTGCCCCCTCCTTCTGCCCCCCCCCCCGCCTCCCTCGCCCTCGTGATGCTGACGCCGATCATGCAGCTCCTCCTGTGCCCGTTTCCTCCCCTCTCGTCCAGTCCCGTTCATCCCTGGCCCCTCGGCCACCCCTCCAATGGAACCCCTTCATTCCCACAGCCCACCATCCCCCCCCCCCCCGCGCCTTTGCATGCCAGACCACTGCCCCCTCCTGGACCAGCCGGGAGACCAGCGGAAACTCCTGCCCAGCGACCACTCCAGCAAGCGGCGCGCAACAGATGCACAGTTGGAGACACGAACTGTGCATTTCGACCGCGTACGACGCCCCCCGTGGACCAGCCGAAAGAGAAACGTGAAAGTTTCCGCCCAGTCAACACCATCCGCGAGGCGCACACTCCAAATACACAGATGGGAACGAGATCTGCGCACACAGATCACACCACGATCTGTGTAAACAGGAGGCCCACGCACGAAAATACACAATTGAAAACAAAAACTGTGTACACAGATCACACCTTGATCTGTGTATTCCGAAAAGGTGAACGCTCGCCACCTCGAGGGCGCCCCGACTTTGCCAACCCAGAACCGAAGTCGACATGCCCAGCTAGGGGGGGATGCAAATACACACTTCACCGGCACAGGGCGCCCCCGAGGGAGCTGCAAATACACGCTTCCCTGGCCCAGGGCGGCCGCGGTGAAACGCGGCGCCCAAGCGGGCCCAAACGGCCCGAAAACGCACCGAAAAGGCCTCGGAGGACCCCAGCGAATGCCGCACAGCAGCCCGAAAACACGAGAGGTGTCACATGCCATGGACCTCTTAGCAATCAAAGCTCCACGCGTCGCCATACAGACCACTGCTCTGGCAAGGGGGCGGACCTTGCCGCAGGCACCTATAATTTACACGTTAGCGATGCGACTGTGCTCGGCGGCCGTGCCGCCCGCGTTTGGCGCGCGCCCCGAACGCTCGCACTGGCAATCGCCTCTGTTTGGTGGCGCCGCTGTGCTCGGACATCGAAAAAGCGATATACCGCTGACACGGGCACGCGGCACCAGGGACCTTACTTTTCGAACAAGGATGGAAGAAGAGGTAGGACGACGGACGGTGGAGCAGGGAGGCAAAAAGGAACGAGGAATAATGAGGGGGGTGAGAAGGGGTGCTCCCCCGCCCGAGCCGCGGGCGCTTTCGACACCATCCAGGGGACGGGAGGTAGGAAGGGGAACGGAGCAAGGGCGAAGACGATGACGGGAAGCAAACTGTCTCGGGTCCGCATATAGCCACATGCTTGCGATTCGGGCGCGCCCGCTTTCTTCGAGGCGCCTCAAGCCCGACCCATACTGAATTCACTAATTCCTCCAAGCTGTGTACACACTCTGTCCCCTGTTCCCCCTCCTATACAACTGCCTCAGACCAGAGGGGCAGTGGATTCCAAATGAGCGAAGCGATTAAACAAGTGCTCTCGCCCACCCCAAAAACGCCGAGAGAGGCATCGAGATGCACGGAAGGCCCCCCCAACTCGCATTCGCAATCGCATTCGCACTCTCATCAGGACATGGCCCGCGCCCCCTTGAGCCGGAGCGCGGAGGTCGCAACCTCTCTATGCGCACGCGCGCTGGGGAAAGCAAAAAAAAAAGGCAGCACTAGCGCGCTTCCCTGCTGGAGCTGGTTCTGGCGCCGATGTCGGTCGGCGTCGCGCTGGCAGGTAACTTGGCCGCGCGCGGGTGCTGAGCTCACGTCGATGAAATGAAATCGGACTCCATTCTCACCCAGGTGGTTGCGTCGGAGGCTGTGCGGACCCCCGCAAAATCATTCGTGGCGTCAGTCACACCGTCGTTCGCGCGCGTGGTCGCAATCCGCTGGCGCATGCAGTCGCGCATTTCGCCCCTCCACCGCTGCGGTCGTCGACCTTGCTGGCGCTGTCCTCGTCGCCCCGCAACCAGAGCAGGATGCCAGCGAGCAAATTGTCGGGTCCATCGGGTGGCGCTGTGACGGGCTATTGCGTGGGCCTGTCTCCACAGAAGTCGTCGCTGTTTCGTGACCCATGGCCGCATGTCGCGAAGGCCCATAAAATAATTCGCCCCGCGTGCTGCGCGGCGGATAAAGTCGAGCCGCGGCTCAGCAAAGTCACCGGCAATCGGGTCGGACAGATCGACCGTCTCGGGGAGTTCGGGCCCGCCGGGGCTGCTGCCGACGTCACCGTCAGAGGACGCAGTGGTAGATGCACTGGCAGTCGCTGGAGTAGAAGCCGCGGATGTGGCGCAACTGCTGTCCGAGAAATGGTTTGGCCAAGTGGTCGTAGCCTGCGAGGCGTGCTCGTCGCGGCGGTTATTCTGGCGTCGCGGCGCGCTGATACCATTATGATATGTCTTCGCTGTGCGGTGTTGAGCCGTCGCTTCATGGACTCCGCGAACGCCCGCGCGCCCCCTCCGCGCAACGCCGTCGGAGTCACAGCGGCGTCGAAGAGCTGGAGTCGGCGCTGCAGCGGGCAGCCGCTGCTCGCGAGCTCCTGCCGGCGGCGCGCGGGCGCGGCCCATGCGCATCTGATCCGGCGCGGCAGCTCCACCGCCACTGGCTGCTTGAATGCGATGGTCTGCCCGAGGCACTGGAATTCCCCGTCGCGCGGTGAAACCGCGTTTTCCACGCCGCGCACGTTGACTGATCGCGCGCACGCTCGGCCTGCGCGCCCAGTCGAAATGATCACGATATCTGTCTTCGCCGGGTGTTGTTCGTGCCCGCGGGCCGCGGCTGCAGCAACGACGTCGGCGAGCATCTCGGCGAGTCGTGGTAGGATTGGGGCCATCAGTAACGCGTCATCTGCGAATCGCAGATTGTGAGACTACTGGAGCTGGCGTCGCTGCGTTGGATGCCGCGGCGGACGCCCCGCCATTTTGTCGTCGAGGGTGCCGCGACGCGCTGCAGCACGGCATTGAAGATCAGCGAGCTGAGAGGATCTTCCTGTCACGTCCCGCGGCGGAGGGAGAATGGCCAGCCGTCAATTTCAGCGCGCACTGTGGCTGTCTGGTCGCGGCAAATCGGTTGCAGCATGGCGATGCACCCTGGCTCGACGCCTTCGGCTCGCAAGGATTGCCAAACGCCGTCGTGCTCGACCGAGTCGAAGGCCTTCTTGAAATCAAGAGCAGGCACCCATAGACTCTGTCGCCACTCGCGCGCCCGTTGTCGTAGAAGTTGGACGTAGGAAAGCTGTCCGTCGTAGAGTGCCCGGGCCGGAAGCCTCCGTGATCAGGCGTTTGGTGGGCGTGGAGAATTGGCTGGAGTCGGTTGCAGAGTAACTGGCTGCACAGCTTGCATAGCATAGGCATGCCACGCATCGGTCGGCGGCTGCTTGGGAGCGCGAGGTCCCCGGACTTGGGAATTACAACGACGATGGTCTGTCTCCACTCCTCTGGAGTCGGAGCCGCCGGCTGCCGCGCGGCGCCAGGGAGGTGGAGAAAGGCCGCCTCGAGGTCGTCGCAGGAATATGTGAGCATCACCGCGCTGATGCCTCTGTTGTCGCGAGCTCTTCCTCTCGTCAGTTGCGCGCTAGCCTTGTCAAGCCCTTCTCCAAAGAAGGGTTGCACTGGTGGGTGCGAGATTGCTTGTGGCGGCGATTGGTTGGTCGAGAGGTAGAGAGCCTCGTAGAAGTCGGCGAACGCGTTCGCGATCTGCTCTCTCGCGGTCCACGCGCGGCCGAGTCCGTCGGTCATCCGCGCGATCAGGTGTCATTTTCTGAGCGTCGCGATTTGCGCGATCGTCTTGAGGCCACGGAATCTGGCAAGTATCGTTGCTACTTGTTCGCGCCTGGCGCAGCGCTTGATGTGGCGGAGCTCCTTCAGTATGTCTTTGCTGAGTCGTCGTCGCTGGTGATGGTCGGAGCTGGTCGTCGAGCGCCGCTGTTAGATCAGTTGTTGAGGGCGGACTTCGTAAGAGCGCGTCTGGGCACTGGTGCACGGTGATCTTGTAGTCGCGTCTAGTGGGACGGAGCCGAGGATGATTTCTTCAACCTGGCTGCTGAGATCGCCTGGTCTTGTCTATGAGGCGCTTGTTGATGTACGGCGCCGCGTCTGCTGCTGGCGTCGGCATTGATGTCTGTCCACACTAGGCCACGGTTGCCCCCCCCCCCGCCGGCACTGCCGGTCGCCTCGTGGGTCGTCGGCGCCGTCGCGCGGGCCGGCGCGAGTCGCTGCCAGAGCACGGGCGGAGGCTGGGGTTTGATGATGAGCGCATTGAGATCTGAGCCGAGATCGACTCTGCTGTTGCCCTCAGCATCAACACAGCATTGAAAGAAGGCGCGGCTCACGAGGATGTAGTCGATCTTGCTGGCATGCTAGCTGGATGTGCACGCGATCTGCTCGGGCGTCGGATTGCGGAAGAACGCGTAGGTAAGTACAAGACCTTGTTGCGTGGCCCGGCGTCGGAGCCGTTGCCCTCTGCTGCTCTACTCGCCGCAACCGCAAAGGCCAACACATCGCGATGCGACACTGCGTCGATTCTCCTCCGGGTCGAAAAATCCAGCACCGTCGCGTTGGCCGACTTGGGCGTTGAAGTCAGCGCCGATGATGGGGCGTGCGTTGGGTCGTTCGCATCGCGCGTGCACGTCGCGGAGCACGTCGCGCGGCTGCCTATGTAGCCTGAGTGCGGAAAGTACGCGGAGACAAATTGAAGTCGCAATTCGCGGCGTTTCGAACAGGCGTAAGAGTTTTGTCCATCGCTCATGCACCGCAATGTCGTCGCCTGCCCCGGCGAATACGCGGCCGCCCTTTGCGGTCCAGAGCTCCTCCTAGCATGCGCGCCATGTCTTGTTGATCACGGCACAACCACAGCGCTGGCGCTCGAAATCGTTGATAAGCTCGCCCACATGGCGGTCGGACTCGAATGATCTTGCGTTCTCGTGCATAACCGTCAAGTGGAGTGACGGGGGCTTGTCGCCCACGTTGTGCTTGGAGGACCGCATGGTCATCGTTGTCCTGGCTGCATGGTCGTCGTTGGATGCTGCCGGCGATGGTTGCAATGGCTCTTGGCGTCGCGGTCGTTGTTGCCGGGAGGGCGATGATTGGTGTAGTGCTAGTGGTTCCTCGTGTGCTTGTGATCGTAATAGTGGTAATGGTGCACAGTAGTTGGGCGCTTGTGTGGGTGGTCTGGAATCGGTGATCTCCTGGTTGGGTGAGAACGTAGCCGTGGAACATCACACGTCAGAATACTGATGGGCACGTCTCCATGGGCGCCGCTGTAGTCGGACCTCCCTCCACCCCTGCAGAATAGGTGTGTCGGCATTGCCGGTGGCATCGTATCTGCAGGGTTCCTGACGGGAGGTGATCGCATCAGGTCCTGGGATGGAGTTGAAGTGCGGGTTGGGCCGACGTCGGTCCTACATCTATTTGACGTTGAACATTATGTCTGGCCCCCTTGTGAATTATGGAAAAACTGTGGTTGACCAGTTTCGTCGACTTCTGCCTTTGGTTGCGAAACCCCTGCAGCACTGTGCGACATCGAATTAACATCGAGACTACTCGCGGTCTCATGTTCTAGTTTATTTGCGTTTAGCCACCCATTCCTTGATGGAGATGTCGACCTTGTTTTCGATATACTCGCCTTGTCCGTATAGGTTGGTGCGCCAGTGTTGGATAGCGTGCCGACCGTTTGGTAGAGTACCTTGCCCGTCTTGCTCGTGCGGTTAATGTGGATCTGCTCGAGTGGGATGTGCAAGTCATGGCGGAGGTGGTATTTCATGAAGCCTAGGTGTTTCACGACGCGGCACTCCTCCTTTGTCAGGTTGCCGCCCAACTTGAGTGGACGTGCGGCGCCTGGTGCTGCGGGCTGAGCTCCCTGGATGAGTTTCTGGACAATTACTATTCGGGCGATCGCCTTGACGTCCATGATGCCGAAGTTGGTGGGGTCGGTTGTGCAGGACATGTTGGAGACCCGGTCGTCGAAGTCGTGCTCAAAAACTACATGTTTGATGAGGGCGACGACGCCGGACTCGGAGGCGTTCGGTTGGAGACTGGTCGCGATGACCTGTTAGCTCCTGCTCCCTTCCTCCGTCTTTTTCATTGGCTCCGCGCAAACACGGTCCAAACAGCGGCAGACACGCGGCGAGCGCGCGCGAGAGTGAGACACGACGAGGGGCACCAGGGAGTCTAACTTTGCTTCACCTTTGCGAATCCGAGTTTGTCGCGGTCCGTGGTGGTCGGGGCGCTTGACGTTCCGCTCGGTGGCCCGCTTGCCCGCGTGCTGCTCACCTGCGTCGTCAGCTCCTGCAGCTGCTTCGCCGTCGTGTCCTCCCGGTTGCTCAGGCTCTGCAGCTGGCTGGTCGTGTTGGCGTGGTTGGTGTCGATATGCTTCTGCATGGTGTCGTGCTTGGTCTGCTGCGCGGTGGTGCACTCCGAGAACATGGCGTGCATCCTCGCCGTCATTTCCTCCAACACAGCCTGGCTGACTGCGTTGGTGAGGGCTTGCTGAGAGGGATCGAGATGCTGTGGACCATCCTCAACCACTTCGATGGGTTTGTCCACCTTGGTGGCCTGGGCGGGTGGAGATTATCCCGTGTTGCCAGAGGCCTTGCGCTCGGCGCCCATGGATGCGCTGTGATGGAAAGTGGGGTTCGAACGGAGGGCAAAACAGCTTGCGGTGAAAACAGCTTGAGCCACCACCCTGTTTGAGACAAAATGGCTTGAGCCTAGCGACACGCAAGAGTCGCAAAGCGGCACGCAAGAGGCGCCAACCGGCCCCAAGATGGCCTGAGCACGGCGCAAGGATCCCCCCAGGGCAGCCCCGAGAGACAGACCAAGACCGCCCCGAGACGGCTCCAAGAGGGCCCAAAGCGGCTTGCTGCATGACCCGCCGAAGCTGTCCCAAGACCCCTCCACATGACTACAAGAATCTCCAGGATGACCCGAAGACCCAAGCAGGCTCCCAAGAGGCCCCAAAATGGCCCTCCTGGATCTCCCAATGAGCCCTCCTGCAGGCTCACGGAGGGGCCCAACCCAAAGCCCCGATGTCACACGCTACGGCCCTCTGGGCCGCGAGGAAGTCAATTGTCACGGGTTACTGCAGTCGCTCCGCTGGGGAAGCGAGCCATCATATGTGACGGCCCGTCTGGGACCCGGGGAAGGAAAGGTGTCACAGGTTGTGGCTCTCGGGTGCCCGAGGACGGCAGCCATCACATCTTAGGGCCCCTTGGAGCGTGGAGACGAGAACTGTCGCATGTTGGGGCTATCTGGGCGAGAAACCTGCCCTGGCACGGCGGCGGAACCTGCCGCGGGCACCTTGAAAGTCTGCAGACTTGTTCCAAAAGAGATCGCCAGACTTAGACGAATCATTGTTACTCCCAGGCCGTGCCTGCACCGAGAGGCTCTTGCGCAGTCCCCTAAGAGGGCTCGCACTGGGGAGTGCCTGTGAAGGGGTCTGACTTCTATTCAGAAGCATTGTTCTGGATTGCCAAGCATGCAGCTGACACTGGCAAACCCCAGCTAGCCCAAAGCGGCGCCCTGAACTGGACCGCTGAGAAAGCGCCTGGCAGCGACTAGACCTGAGGACCCGACTGGCCCAGAGCAGGCGATTGTCCAAAATCGCTAAGAAATCGACTGGCCACGACTCTATCCCCTGCTGGCCGCTGGCCCTGAATCGCCGGGAATTCGGCTGGACACGACTAGCCCCAACCACCCACGAGCGACAGCACATCGCTTATCGCCCGAAATCTATTTGACCGCGACTAGCCTCGACTAGCCCCGAGCGGCCGCATGGCCTGCATCGCCAGGGATTCGGGTGGCCGCGACTGGCCCCGACCACCGCAAGCGCTGACTGGCCCCGGTTGACGTTTGCCCTGGAACGCCTAAAGCACGGCTAGTCGCGGCGAGCCCCAGCTGGCTCCGAAGAAGTAGCCCGAATAACCCCAGCCAGCCTCTTGCCCGTGGATAGCGAAGAGCTCGGTCGGCTACGACTACTCCAGACAAGCCGCGAGCGACCGCTTGGCCCCGCCTATCCCCAAACGGTGTCCCGCACTCCATTTTATCAGACTCTGCCTGTGAGGGATAGCCTGCGCTGACCGCTGCCACGAATTAGTCGCCACCCTGGTTTACCCAAAAGTTCTGTTCTTGGGGGTAGTCCCCAAGTAGTCCCTGCCACTAACCCATTACATCGGCAGTCCAAAAGTCATTCCAATATCATCAGTGCGATGAACTCTTCCCTCTGTAAGTCACAGAATTGGCCTGCAAATCCACAGCTTCTTGGATCCAAGAGCAATTGGGGTCCCGGATACGACATGTTTATATGAACAAGTCCGAAGGAAGAATTTTCACGCACAGAAGATCGAATCCTGACAGGAGAGAAAGTTACTTACGAGGCTCTCACACAGCCAGTGGGACCCAACTGGGTCCCATGGATTGGGTCGCTTGGCTTGCCGCCCGACAGAGAAAAAGCGCTGCCGCCGTCAAAGTCGTCGCCGTCGTCGCCAGCGTCTGCGCACCCCCACCTCCACCTCCGCCTTTCCTCCGCCATGATAGCCCACCTCATCCTTGGGGGGACAACGAAGTACCGATAGCGCTACTCCCCAGACCTCCAGGGCTGCGCGCTGACTAGGATCCCAAGGCGAATCTGACCGTGGCGACGAGGGCAGCGTAGCGTAATTGGTGTAGTTTCCTCTTCTGCCTTCTCCTCCTCTCCTCGACGACGACGACGACGACGACGACGACGCCGACCTCCCCAGACATCCGATGATCTGATGTTTTTAAACTCCGCGGCACCAGAGGTCCCGACCCCTTCCACGGGGCAAGGTTTTCCTCCCGGATCCGTTTCCGCTGGCCCAGGGACCCAACGACAGCCCACCGAGACCGGACCCGAGGGAAGACGCCCAGACTGAAAAAAACATCTATCATTGCATCGACCTTGCAGACGCGTGGATTTCTGCCCATGCAAAACCCTGAGACGGCGAGCGAAAAACGAAGTGAATTTCTGTGGATTGTTTGTAGTCTTCACTCCTGGCCCAGAAAAAACCCGCGCGAAATTCACTTGGAAATCTGGAACGAAATTCTCCAGGACAATCCGGGCCCATCCCATTGTTTCCCGAACGAAATCCGCTCGTGCGATGTTGACGCCATGTGATGTCGGTGGCGGCGGCAGCGACGGCGACGACCTCCCGCGACTATCGGAGCCCAGGAGTCCTGCTGGCCCGCGGCGGCGGCCTCGCCGGCGGGTGCGCCATGCTCGCCGCAGGCCTGCTCCTGCCCCGGATAGCGGGGGAGGGTGCAACGACGACCGACGACGACGACGACGACGACGACGACGACGACGACGACGACTACGACGACGACGACGGCGGCGACGGCGGCGACGGCTACGGCGACGGCTACGGCGACGACAGCGACAACGACGACGGCGGCAGCGCGGCGACGGCGGCGGCGACGACGACGACGATGACTTTGAAGACGAGCCCCGCGGCATACGGGGGCGAGGGGGAAAGGGAGGGGAAGGAAGGACGGGCGAGGGAGGAGGGATGGAGGGTGGGGGGGGCCACGAGGGGGGAGGGAGGGGGCGGTACGGGGAGGGGAGGAGGGGAGGTGAGGAGGAGAGGGGAGGAGGAGGAGAGGAGGAGGAGGAGGAGAGGAGAGGAGGAGGAGGGGAGGAGGAGGAGGGAGGAGGGGCGGGGGGGGAGGAGGAGGAGGAGAGGAGTAGGAGGAAGAGGAGAGAGGGAGGAGGAGGAGGAGGTAGGAGGAGGAGGAGGAGAGGAGGAGAGGATGAGGAGGAGGAGGAGGAGGAGGAGGAAGAGGAGGAAGAGGAGGGGAAGGAGGAGAAGGAGGAGGATGGAGGAGAAACCAAAGTGTAAACCGAAGGTAAATCAGCGATGATGCCAAACTCCCGTCCCCTCCCCATCAGTCCCTACTCGCTGTCCTTTTCATTGCAAGAGAGGCCTGCCAATCAGGCGAACACCATTGTTTTATGAACTGCCTTGCATTGTTCTAACACGCAATCTCGAACGCGACGAGGTATCATCATTTCAACGAGGTGTCCAGCGAGATCCACGCTTGGCAGCGGGCCCCAACAACAACAACAACAACAACAACAACAACAACAACAACAACAACAACAACAACAACAACAACAACAACAACAACAACAACAACTACTACTACTACTACTACTACTACTACTACTACTACTACTACTACAAAAACCGCGTGATTGATACAATTTCTACACATCAGACCATGAGCTTCGAGAACGTCTTGATTGAAATCGCAATGCCGAAAAGGAGCCACCCTGCGTCCGTGCAGCTGTCACACACGTGTGCTGAGGCTCCCGGTCGAAGAAGACCAAAGAGAGATCCACGGGTTTGGGAACTGATGTGCTCTACGTCACTGTAACAGCTGCAGACTGTTAAGACGACGGTGTGCGGCGTCAAAGCGAGATCTCCACTTGAAAACACACCGCCCTCCGTCCTTGGAAGTCCTGCAAGTTTTCCAGACGCATGTGAGCAGCGCTTACGTAGGCGGGGGCCCCATTTTGAAAATGAAGCCCGCGCGACCCCGATTGCAGGAACTCTTCCTACGCGGCATTGCTTGGCATTGTTTGCCAGTGCATTACTTGTTTGGGAATTGCATTGATTTGGATTGCGTTGCACTGCTAGGCGTTGCTTGGCGGTGCTTGGCCGTGCTTGGCATTGTGTGGCATGGCTTGGCCGTGCTTGGCAGTGCTTGGCATTGCTTGGCAGTGGTTGGCATTGCTTGGCGTTGCTTCGCATTGCTTGGCATTGCTGGACATTGCTTGGCAGTGCTTGGCACTGTTTGGCGCTGCTTGGCATTTATTGGCGTTGCTTGGCATGTATTGGCGTTGCTTAGCATGGCTTGGCGTTGCTTGGCAGTGCTTGCCGTTTCTTTGCATTGTTTGGCATTGCTTGTCATTGTATTGCTTGGCATTGCTTGGCGATGCTTGGCATTGCTGGCCGGCAATCGCGGCCGCATGGGCTTTTCAAACCAACTTGCGGGTGGGTGGGTGGGATGATTGCGCGAACAGTGGAGTTGACAACTTCACGTTTGGCAGGGTGAATTCCACCACATAGATTGCACCACCTAGATGGCTCCGCCTAGATTGCACAACTTGGATTGCTCGAACACACACTGCTTGGGGTCCACTCTGGCAAACATCTGTTCTTCGATTCTCTCGAAAATAACGTTCGACGACACGACGTCCGCGGCGGCGGCGACGGAAGCGGCGGCGGCGGCGGCGGCCGCGCCCCGGGAGAGGGCCTCCGCCGGAGGCCGCTGGGGCACGACAAAGCGGCCGCCGTCGAAGCTGCAGCCGAGGACGCGGAGGCCTTTGGCGCGCGCCGCCGCCGGGGGGCGACGAGGGAGGGGCGACGAGGGAGGTGTGGTATGGGTATGGGCTGGCCCTGAAGGCGGTGCGACAAAACTAGCCCCCCAAAAAGGGATCCCTCGTCCGAGCTGGGATCCTCCTCGGGGGCTTCGGCCGCGCGCTGGATCTCGCGGCGACCCATCTCACGCACGGCCACAAAATCTGCAGCCTCCGGAGGACAAGCACAACAAAGAGGAGGAGGAGGAACGCACCACGGCCTGTAAACGAGCCAGGAGGAGAAATCGGCCAAGGGGAAAGGGTTGAGACCTCAAGGGGGCGCGACAAAAACGTGACGTCCGAGTGGGTCAACGAAAGAAACGGCGGAACCTCAAGAGAAGGGGACACGTTTACGGCAGAAGAGAAAGGATGGGCAAAACAGAGACTCGCGAGCCTGTGGAACCACACATACGTAGATAAGGCTCAGCATGAAGATAAAGGAAGGATGATGATGGTGATGCCGATGATGACCAAACCATCATCGAATATGTGACGAAAGCCGAAGTTTAGACCTCGAACCTGGGAGGGGGGGTGAAAGGGGAGGGGAGGGAAAGAGGGAGGAGAGGGAAAGGGGCAAGCTAGGTGCGCTCGCACCACATCTGACGTCCTATCCCTCCCTCCCATCCCTTCCCATTGCGCTGAATTTTCTATATCCGCGGACGCGTGTCATAACCGACCTGGAACTCCATTACCCCAGTAAATCAAACTGATAGCAGCAAAGGTGACCTGTGGGACCTGTGGAGCATGTGGGAACTGTGGGACCCGTACGATCTGTGGGACCTGCGGAGCCTGCGGGACTTGTGTGGCCTGTAGGACCTGTGGGACCTGTGGGACCTGTGGGACCTGTGAGACCTGCGGGACCTGTGGGACCTGCGGGGCAAGTGGGCACTTTGGACCTGCGGGACTTGTGGGACGAGGGGACAGGGAAGGGAGAAGAGGGAGGACACGAAGAGACGGGGAGGAGGGAGGAGGGAGGCCCTTGCGAATCGACGCGAATCGACGCTACTCGACGCTAAATCGACGCTGAATCGACGCTGAATCGACGCTAAATCGACGCCACATCGTCGCTATCTCATCGATAACCAGGCGCCAATCGACGCTGCTGCACTCTGAAGACGGAATTACAGGGCTCCCATGATTTGCTACCGACACAAGGCCCTCCTCGCCAGTAGGGGCGACCTCTCTGAGATAAACGATTTCTCAAGCGCTAAGCCTGGTTCAGGGTTCAGGTGGAACCGTCGCCCCTGTCAGGCTTGAAACCTGATCCAAAATTCTGCGGAGAACAGAGGGCGCGAGCTACTCCCTGCCTGCTGCTACCCTCCCTCGGTGCTGCTCTCGAGTCGGCCCGGTCGGCCAGGTCGGGGCGATGCATCGACCTGGCACAGGGGGGGATGCATCGACCTGGAGTCGGCGATACATCGCCGATAGATCGGCGATAGGCCTCCGAGAGTGAGTCCGCACCTTCCTGGGCGGGTTGGGGCTATCAGACCCCTACCGGCGATCAGTGGGCGATTGGGGGGTCGATGCTTCCCCCCCCTGTGCCTATCCCCCCCCTTATCGTTGCCCCTGCCCACCGAAGGCCCACCTCCCTGGTCGGGGCGGAGGGACCGACGGCGGGCGCTCGCGCGGAGAGCCCCGGCCCCGAGCGCCGGGGCGCGAAGAACCCGCACCCCCCGGGGGACAAGCGGTCGCCCGGGAGCCTGGGCGGTGAGGTGGGGCCGGGAGTCACCCCCTGTGCCATTACACCGACCTTGCAGACGGGCTGCAGCGGAGGTTCGCGTGGACGTCTGTCAACGCCAAATCCCGAAACGGCGAGCGGAAAGCGAAGTGAGTTTCACGCGGCTTGTTTGTAGTCTTCATTCCTGGCCAATGTAAGACCGCACGAAATTCACTTCGAAATCCGGAACGAAATTCTCCAGGACAATATGGGCCCATCCCTTTGTTCTCCGAACGACATCCGCTCTGCGATGTTGGCGCCATGACCTATGAGGACTGACTCGTGGATAGGGGAACGAAACATGGCATAAATAGAAAAGCTCGGGGGTCCGCGCGGAGTTCTTGGATCCGCGCTGGACCCCCCTCCTGGGCGCGCTGGGGCGGCGCCGGAGGCGCCGTCAGGGCGGTCCACCGCCGATCTGAGAAATCCGCACGCACCTCCGAGTTTTTAGGTTTATGTCAATGTTCGCACCACTAGGGAAGCTCTCGGTAACACGCATAGAACGTACGCTTGGCGTCGCAAAGATGGCCGTGCAGCGCCGAAGAGGAGGGGGGAAGGGGGAAGAAAAGAAGAGACAGGGGAGGACAGAAGAAGGAAGGGCGGCATGAACATAAATCTTTGGCGCTCCGCGCGGGTTTCTCGGATCTGCACTGGACTCCCCTCCCTGGCGCGCGAAGCGCGCCAGGGGCGGCGCCGCAGGCGCCGCCAGGGGTGGTGCCCAGCGAGGATCCAAGAAATCCACGCTGTTCCTCCTCCTCCTCCTCCTCCTCCTCCTCCTCCTCCTCCTCCTCCTCCTCCTCCTCCTCCTCCTCCGCCGCTGCTGCTGCTGCTGCTGCTGCTGCTGCAGCTCCTCCTCCTCCTCCTCCTCCTCCTCCTCCTCCTCCTCCTCCTCCTCCTCCTCCTCCTCCTCCTTGCTGCCAGTCCAGATGGAATTCAGGCACAATGAAATTGAAGAACGTCGCAGTTGAGTCGAAAGAAAAACCGTCTGCCAGGGGGAAAGGGGAAAGAAAAACCTTCTGCTGGGGGGACGAGGGGTCCTGGCGGGGGTCCGGGGCGGGTCCCCCGGGGGGTGGTCCCCAGGGGGGTCCCTGGGAGGGCAGGGGGGGGTCTCTGGTCAGAGTACCATCCCCTGGGGTCCTGGAGCTCCAAAAAGCGCCAAGACGGGCCAAGAGTGCCCCAAGAGGCCGCCAGCACGTTTCAAGAGGGCCCCGAATCACCGAAGATCGTTCCAAGACGCTTAAGATAGCCTCCAAACAGCCCAAGAGGCCTTCAAGACGCCCCAAGAGGCCTCCAAGAGCACTCCCAAGAGGTCCCCACGAGGCAAACTTAATTGATGTTCCTTTGGTTGTTGACAGACTTGGGCGCTCTCGCCGCTTCGGCTTCCCGACACTCCAAGACAGCCCAAGAGGAGGCCCCCAAGATCGCCCCAAGATGCTCCTAAGATGCTCCCAAGATAACCACCACGAAGCCTCAAGAGGCCCCCAAGAGGCTCCCGAGAGGCTCTCGAATACCTCCCAAGAGGCTCCAAAAGTGCCCCAGAGGCCCCCGAGAGTCCTCCGAAGAGACCCCAAGAAGCATCTCTGAGGACTCTAACCCACGTCTGCGTCGTCGTCGTCGTCGTCGCCGCCGCGCCGCCGTCATCCCCTTCAGGATCGGCGGCACCGGCCGCAAGGCCTTCGCAATAGGCACACCTTGCAAGACTCCCCAGATTTTCCAATGACATGTTCTGCATGTTCTTTTTTCCCTACGTTGCACATATGTGCCAACATGTTCCTGGAAATCGACGCGCAAGTGTGTTTGTGTCTATTTGTCCGTCCTCGCACGAGCAGGTCCGACACGACACGAATGGCTCGGACGTCCGCGAAAACCCACGAGTGCACAGAACGCGCAGAATGCCACGGCAACGCCAGCGCTATGGAGCGCTGCTCTGGTTCGCGCCCGCTGGGCTGCCCGAAAGCAGCAGACACTGCACGAGGCGCGCGCGCACTCCGGCGCCACAAGTCAGGAATAAAACAAAAGAACGCGACGTCGTGGGAACCCCCGCCTCCTCCTCCTCCTCCTCCTCCTCCTCCTTGTCCGCCTTCTCCTCCTCCTCCACATCCTCCCTCCTCCTCCTCCTCCACATCCCCCTCCGCCTCCTCTTCCTCTTCCTCCTCCTCCTCCTCCTCCTCCTCCTCCTCGCCCTCCTCCTCCTCCTCATGATCATGATCATCATCGTCATCATCATCATCATCATCATCACCATCATCATCATCATCATCATCATCATCATCATCATCATCAGCATCATCATCATCATCATCATCATCATCATCATCATCATCATCATCATCATCATCATCATCATCATCATCATCATCCCTCATCATCAATCATCATCATCATCATCATCATCACATCTTCATCATCATCAACATCAACAACACATCATCATCATCACAGCAGCAGCATCAGCATCCATCATCAGCAGCAGCATCATCATCATCAGCATCAGCATCATCATCATCAACATCACATCAGCATCAGCATCAGCATCCTCATCCTCATCATCATCAAATCATCATCCATCAGCACCACATCACACCATCATCATCGTCATCATCATCGTCGTCATCATCATCAGCATCAGCATCATTAGCAGCAGCAGCTCAGCATCAGCATCATCATCATCAACATCAGCATCATCATCATCATCATCATCATCATCATCATCATCATCATCATCGCCATCATCATCAGCATCATCATCAACATCACCATCATCATCATCATCATCATCATCATCATCATCATCATCACTATCATCATCATCAGCATCATCACCATAATCATCGTCATCAGCATCATCAGCATCAGCACCATCATCATCATAATCATCATCACCACCACCACCATCACCATCAGCATCATCAGAATCATCATAATCATAATCAGAACCATCATCATCATCATCATCAGCATCAGCATCATCATCATCATCATCATCATCATCATCATCATCGTCATCATCATCATCATCATCATCATCATCATCATCATCATCATCATCATCATCACCACCATCATCATCATCGTCCCCCATGGCCCGCCTCCTCCTCCTCCTCCTCCTCCTCCTCTTCCTCCTCCTCCTCCTTCTGCTCCTCCTCCTCCTCCTCCTCCTCCTCCTCCTCCTCTTCCTCCTCCTGCTCCTGCTCCTGCTCCTGCTCCTGCTCCTGCTCCTGCCCCTGCTCCTGATCCGGCTCCTCCTCCTCCTCCTCCTCCTCCTCCTCCTCCTCCTCCTCCTCCTCCTCCTCCTCCTCCTCTTTCCTGCTCCTGCCTGCTCCTCCTGCTCTCCTGCTCCTCTGCTCTTCTCCTCCTCCTCCTCCTCCTCCTCCTCCTCCCCTCCTCCTCCTCCTCCTCCCCTCCTCCTCCTCCTCCTCCTCTCCTCCTCCTCCCCTCCTCCTCCTCCTCCTCCCCCCCTCCCCCACTTCCCCCCCTCCCCCTCCCCCCTCCCCCCTCCCGCCCCTCCTCCCTAACCTCGTCCTCCCCCTCCTCCTCCTCCTCCTCCTCTCCTCCTCCTCCTCCCTCCTCCTCCTCCTCCTCCTCCTCCTCCTTCCTCCTCCCTCCTCCTCCTCTCCTCCTCCTCCTCCTCCTCTCCTCCCTCCTCCTCCTCCCTCCTCCTCCTCCCCTCCTCCTCCCCTCCTCCTCCTCCCCCCCCCGCTTGCTGCTGCTGCTGCTGCTGCTAGCTGCTGCTTGCTGCTGCTGCTGCTGCTGCTGCTGCTGCAGCTCCTCCTCCTCCTCCTCCTCTCTCCTCCTCCTCCTCCTCCTCCTCCTCCTCCTCCTCCTCCTCCTCCTCCTCCTCTCCTCCTCCTCCTCCTCCTCCTCCTCCTCCTCCTCCTCCTCCTACCTCCTCTCCTCCTCCTCCTCCTCCTCCTCCTCCTCCTCCTCCTCCTCCTCCTCCTCCTCCTCCTCCTCCTCCTCCTCCTCCTCCTCCTCCTCCTCCTCCTCTCCTCCTCCTCCTCCTCCTCCTCCTCCTCCTCCTCCAGCCTCCTCCTCCGCCTCCTCCTCCTCCTCCTCCTCCCCCGCTTCCCTCCACCGCACGCCCCATGTCCCGAGCCTGTGGCAGGGTCATCAGCACGTCGTCGTCATCGTCGTCGTCGTTCTGGGTCGGTGGCACTGGCCGTAAGGCCTTCACAATAAAACAACAGGACGCGACTTCGTGGGAAATCCGACGGGGGGGGTCGGGCTGCGGCCCGTCAGGGGCCAGGGCCCCAAGACGGGCCAGTGTGAGGCCCGTCGCCACTATGTCAAAGACTCCCCATCAAACGACGACGACGACGACGACGACGACGACGACGACGACGACGACGACCACGGCAGCGGCGGCGGCGGCGGCGGCGGCGGCGGCGACGGCCGCCCGAAGCGGAGCCGGAGTGTGAGCCAGAGCCAGCGGCGGAAGCGACGGAAGCGGTGACGATGGAAGCGGCGGCGGCGACGGAAGCGGCAGCGGCGACAGCGGCAGCGGCGACAGCGGCAGCGGCGACGACGACGACGGCGGATGATGACCACGACAATACAAGACGACGGCGGCGGAAGCGGCGACGGCGACGGCTGCGGAGAGGGGGCGCCCACCGAACTCGAGCGGGTGATCTTCCAGCCTGCCGACGGTGCCCTCGGGGATCGGGCCCGGCACCTGTCGCAGGCGCGCGGGGGCTAGCGGGTGAGTCATTACGGCAGCTCCGTGGCCGCTTGCTATCATAGAGGCCTGGGCCGTCAAGAGGGCCATTTTCTGAAACGCCTTGCCGTCACGGATCGGCCGCGGCGTCGCTGTTTTTCTGTTGTTGCTGCTGCTGCTGCTGCTGCTGCTGCTGCTGCTGCTGCTGCTGCTGCTGCTGCGGGTGCGCTCGAGTAGGCCACGCGCCCAGGGAAGGCCTCCTCTAGCAACTCCGCTGCTCCACGAGGAGGAGAAGAAGGAAGAAGACGAGGACCAGCGAAAATCCTGGGTGCATCAGCGATGCTGCAACACACACTCCCGTCCCAAGTCGTATCCTCATGATTCTCCTTCGCTACTGGCGCCACCTCCCTCATCGGGAGACGAAGGCCACATGCTATTCAAACAAGAGCACCGTTTTGAAAATGAGCCACCCTCCATCCTTTTTACTATGAGCGTGCCATGGGGTGCTGTCATCAAATCCAGGAAAAACTGCAGCGAGAGCGCACTTTGAAGAAGAACCACGATGCAGCAAAGTAAAGGCTGCACAAGTGTAAAGTTCTGGTCATACATAATGAGGAAAACGTATCACGCAAGAGCCACAGTGTGAATAGGACTGCCCTCCAAACGCGTAGCAGCTGCATCCTGATCCCTCTGAGGCTGTCCTGACTGACGGGTCAGAAACGACGCCACTCCCAGGAAGCCCGCGAGTCCCGCGGTTCCAAAATTCCAGAAAGACGTCGAGGGAAGTCCCTTCCCTTCCCGCCGGGGAAGGGGGTGGGGGTCCCGGGGAAGACCCAGGTCAGATACGCTTCCCCGGGCCCTGGCCGGGCTCCGGCTCTGGTCCTGGCCCCCGACCCCGGCTCCGGCTCCAGACCTGGTTCCAGCCCCGGCCCCGGCCCAGGAAGCCCGCGAATCCCACGGTTCCACCAAATGCCAGAAAGACGTCGAGGGAGATCCCTTTCCTTCCCTTCCCGCCGAGGAAAGGGGGGGGGTCCCAGGGAAATCCCGCGGGTCAGGTACGCTTCCCCCCCGAGCGGTTCGGCCCTGGCCCCGTCCCTGGCCCCGGCCCTGGCCCCAGCGGGTGGGTCAACGGCGGGTCGCGGGTGGGTCGCGGGACGGGTCGCGGGTGGGTCGCGGGTAGGTCGCGGGTGGGCCGGGGGTGGGTCGCGAGCGGGTCGCGGGGTGGGTCGTGGGTGGGTCGCAGGTAGGTCGCGGGGTGGGTCGCGGGTGGGTCGCGGGGTGGGTCGCAGGTGGGTCGCGGGCCGGGTCGCGGGTCGGTAGGCCAGGGGGTGAGGGAAGATCTCTAGCAGCTTTAAGGGATGGGTGTGAGGATATTTCGCACGTCAGGGGGTTGCAGATACCTCGCCGTGGATCCCCGATTCAGCCACGCACCCAGTAACAGTGAATGACCGTTCGGTCCCCTCATTCTGATGCATAAATACATCAATAAAGAGAATGAACGCATCAATAAAATGCACTATACCAACAATAATCATATGTTGTAACAATATATACGAAAATTACTACTATTCCCAAACATCCTGTGGTGTTGGGTCGTCTTTTTGAAGAGACAGCGCCCTGCGTCCCCCCTTTTTGTTTTCCTCTCTCTCCTCCCCCTTCCCTCCTCCCATCCATGCCTCTGTCTCCCCTACCCAGCACAACGCCTCGTGGCCCCATAGGGGGACCCACATCAGGCCCCAGTGGCGGTGTCCACATGCGCCCCCCCAAAAACACAATACAGCGCTTCGTGGCCCCATAGGAAGCCCCACGTAAGGCCCCAGAGGCGGTGTTCACATGCTCTATCCCCCCACCCAGCGCTTCGTGGCCCCATAGGGAGCGCCACCTAAGGTCCCAACGGTGGTGTCCACATGCGCCTCCCCCACCCAATACAACGCTTCGTGGCCCCATAGGGAGCTCCACCTAAAGTCCCAATGGCGGCGTTCACATGCGTTCCCCCCACCCACCACAGCGCTTCGTGGCCCCATAAGGAGCTCCACATAAGGCCCCAGCGGCGGTGTCCACATGCGCCCCCCCGACCCAACACAGCGCTTCGTGGCCCCATGAGGATCTCCACCTAAGGCCCCAGTGGCGGTGCTCACGTGCGTCCCCCCACCCAACACACCGTTTCGTGGCCCTATAGGGAGGTACACGTAAGGCCCCAACGGCAGGGTCCTCATGCGTCCACCCCCCCACCCCACCCCCCACCCACCGCAGCGCTTCGTGGCCCCATGGGGAGCTCCACTAAGGCCCCAAAGGCGGTGCTCACGTGCGCCATCCCCCCCCCCCAGCATACCATAGGGAGCTCCGCCAAGGCCCCACTTGCGGTGTCGACATGCGCATCCCCCACCCAGAATAGCGTTGCGTGGCCCCAGAGGGAGCTCCACCACATGCCCCACTGGCGGTGTCCACATGCATCCCCCCGCCCAGCGCATCGTTGCGTGGTCCCATAGTGACCCCCACCTAAGGCCCCAGCGATGGTGTCCACATGCGCCCCCCCCCCACGCACACACACACACACACACACAGCACAGCGCTCCCAAGCCCCGTAAGGAGCTTCACCTAAGGCCACAGTGGC